TTTTTTTTTTGGGAAAAAAAAAAAAAAAAAAGATGATTCTGCCCTTTGTTTAAAGTAGTTATGGAAAAAGTTTTTTTTTTTTAAATTGTTGTAAAAGCATTTCCCTACCATAGAAATTTTTATAGTAAAAAAATAGTATTCAGACAAAAATTGTGGTTGTGATCTGAAAGACAAAATATTAAGAAAACTTTCCCATACGAACCTTTAATCATAGGAGGATATGATCTCCATTGTGCATTGTTGATAAATACAATGCACAGTGGGGGAAAATCATAATTAAAAAAATTGTTTACGAACAAAAAAAAAAAGACCCTCAAAGTTTCATTTGGGAGAATCATGCTTTAATTATCTATCACTAGTAGTTTTATCTTAAGGGAAATTATCAGTAGAATTTAAGTTTAGATGGTTGAAGTGAAGGAATGCATCGGGCTTGTTGTGCGATAGAAAAGTCCCCATCAAATTTAAGGAAAAATTCTATAAGATGGTTGTGAAACCTGCAATGATTTATGGTGCTGAATGTTGGCCATTAAAAGAGAAGCATAATACTAAGTTAAGTGTTGCATAGATGAGGATGCTCAATTGGATGAATGGCTTTACCCTTGGATGTAGGATATGAAATGAGCATATATGTGAAAAGGTTGTAGTAGCTCCAGTGGAAGATAAGATTAGAGAGAGTCGTCTTATTGGTCACGTCAAACATAGGCCTTCCGATGACCCGGTTAGGAAAGTTGATTCATTAGATTTGACTTATGTTAAGAAAGATAGAGGTAGACTTGGTTAGAAAAAATTAGAAATGATCTTTCTTTATTAGATTTAAAAGAGAATTTGACTTTTAACATAACACAATGGCAAAAAAGGATTCATGCAGCCGACCCCACGTAGTAGGACAACGGCTTGATATTATTGTTGTTGTAGTAATAGTTTTATATTAAATGAAATTATTTTATATAATGCACAATTTGGCCTTGAAATAAAACAACCAACATGCAAACAATGATCTGTATATGACAATATTTTGGAAGTATATAGCTATGCAGAGCCCAATCTACTCATCTTTTTGGAATTTGATGTAATTAAAATTAAGACACATCAATAACAAATTAATTAGAATTTACCCCTTCAATGGTCAATTTTTTTTACAAAAAATAAATTGCAAATAATAAAGGTTTCAATTAAACTATCTTAATATTATTTTATTACTGAGAAATATACTTTCAAATAATTAATTATATTGAAGCTCATTTTTATTATAATTAATTTTTGTAATGCTATCATTAATATTTACATAATTGCTTTGACATAAAGTAGAAACATTCATGTTTTATTCAATCTTACAAAATTTAACTTGACAAATAAGTTCATTATGATCTTGCATAGAATAATTATTTAAGAAAATAAATTTAATTAAGCATTAGTCAAATAAGGCGCTTGTGAAGGTTATTCCTTTTCTTTGTTTTTTTTTTTTTCTTTTTTTTTCAACAAAAATATATTTTTTTATAAAGGAATTTAATTATAAGCATTCTATATTTTAAATATGATGATTAGATATTAAAAATTAAATATTTTTTTGTAAAAATTAGATTAACTCTTCGTTTGGGATAGATTTCTAATTAAAAATTTGCACTAAAAAATTGTTTTATATAGCAATAGAAAAGCTGTCCAAAACGAAATCTAAAATATCCTTTTGGATATACTCATTTACTTCTAAATTTGTGTGTGGTGCTTCTTTGAGTTGTGGCTAAAGATATTTATTTAATTATTAAAAAAATATTAGAATTAAGAGTTTTATGCATGCAAGTAATTATCACACCATTAAACCCACTTTTAGCATTTAGAGTTTTTTTTATATATTTTTTATGCCCTATGTACTCATCCTTGATTCAACTATATTTTGAATTAAACATCTATTTTGTAGACAACATGAGCCAACATTGCTGCTGAGATTATTTTTATAGTTATAAACATCATTGAAAAGTCTAATGAATTTTATGAGGATCATGCAAATAAGCTTTATGGTTACACTATATCAAAGTTACAAACTATTGGAGACTATATCCTCCACATGAGGGATACCATTGTATTTATAATTTTCATATGTTTAGGATGTCTGACTAAGTACTTACCAATCTGCTAAAAAAGAATGGGCAATCGAACTTATTTAGGTTTTATTTGTGATATATTTCTTACTATTTTTAAAATCAGCTTTTTAGTATAAAAAATTAGAATTAGAAATTTTATACTAAAAAACTACTTTAAAAAACAGTAAGAAAGATATCTCAAATGAAACGTTAAACTTAGGTGGTAGTGGTAATTGATCTTTCGATCAATTCAATTGGTTGACTAGCTATTAGTTTTATCTTCCAGAGAATTATTGATTTATCTTATGATCTCCTCAGTCCTTCAAGTATTTTCCATTGCTTTCCTTTTTGCTTCATGATGTAGTTTTAACTAGGCAAAACAAATCCACAATTTGATTTAGATTTTTTTGTGAAGAGTAGCAATTGGTATTTGTACTACATTTGATTCACCTAAGTTATTTTTTGATGGATTGTAGTAGTCTTTGGGTTGAGATGAATACTTTCTCCCAAATCCTTGAACTTTCTTTGAACTTTGTGGTCATTCAGTATTTTTCATAAAAATTTTCTCTTATGTTTTTCCTTTATTATTATTTTTTTGTTTATTATGAGCGAACCAATCTAATTTTTTTATATATATTTGTTGATGAAATTAGGGGTGTTCTTTTAGCAAATTGTTATTTCCTTCTTGGGAGGCACATCTTGATTGAAGATGGATTTTTGGGTTATTGTTGCTCAAAACACATTGTTTTTAGACTTCCATGTGTTAAATCATTGTGTGCATTTGTAGCTATATTTTCTTTTCTTGAAACTATGTATGATTTAATCATTGGTGGGTAAGAGATGTAGATAGTTGGTACTAGTATTAAGTCTTACAGGCTCACTCAAGCTATAGATGGTGCACTATTTTTTTATCAATCATATACACACACATACACAGAGACAATCACATATAGCTCTTTATAATATATCAAAAAGACTATTTTAAAGCATTAATTATCTTATTAATTTTTTTATTTGTTTGGACCAAATTGTAATACCATTCTAAGCAATAAGATTTTTCATTTGGGATTACAAATCTCTATAATCCCTTTGGGGGTCCCTATAAGGACTAGGGAAAGGTCATTGGTTTAGGTATATGATCCTCCACAAATTCATTTGCATGTGGTCTGCCATAAACATTATGGGCCTTTGTAAAGCATTTGAGGGCTCTCTTCAAAGCATATTTATGAAAGATAATGTCTACAATTTGGATCCATTTAAGATTTAAGATCTCTCTAATTTTCCTAGCAATACTTTACATTTCTAAGCTAGTTTTGAATTCTAATGCATCCTTATATATAATACCTCATTATTTTCCTAAAATACTATTTGAAACCGCTCATAATTTTCTTACAAAATTCCTTCAAAATTGTTCATGTTTAAAGATCTCTTGGAGTAATCTTGAGCAACAAGGTCATAGCACAATCATATCATAATTGAAGTGCTATGTAAGACATGGTTTTGTGCAATTTATATTTAGGTTTCTTTCTTCTATTCTTATGATTGTTTGCTAAGTCTCCTAGAAAAGGCTTATAGAAGCCTTCTTATTTATAATCAAGGTAAGGGTCTTGTCTCTCTTCGAATAAAGTTATTTTCTAACAGTTTTTTGGTTATCCACCTGGCAGACGAATCTTACATTTTGTAAAAATTTCTATCAAATTCTAAATTTGTTTTTATCAATGAAGGTTTGTTTGTGATAGTTGTAACTTTTTTAAAAGTGATTCTAAAGCAGTTGTGAAACAAATAACTTTTTCGAAAACTACTGTAAGAAGCAAATTCCTGACATTGAAATTTTTATAAAGCTGAGAGAAAGCAATAGCCAAACGGAACTATGATTTTAATATAAGAAGATAAAGAAGGAAGAAAGTTGTCCCAAAAAGATCCTAAATCACTAATCTTAACATGAAATATTAAATAAAAAATGAATGTATCAATAATTATGTTGTAGATAAAACAATAAATATTAAAGATAGTTATATAAAACTAAAAACTTATCATGGTTACATAAAAATTTTAAGATAATTAATATTTTTCTTAGAACATCTCACTAATATTACATTTCATTTTAAAGAATATAAAAAGAAATACCATTTTGAAAAGAAGGCATCCCAAATTTTCTTAGAGATTTTATTTTTAAAATATATTATTAATAAAGTGTGAGATATATGAATACTCAAAAATATAAGAAAATAATTAGTAAGAGATTCCTACAATTCATACCATTATTTTTTTTTTTTCTAAATGATTTTTCTATTTTTTTAAGAAGCTCTGCTCTATTTTCCCTTTTCTTTCACAAATACACTGACAATTCATCCATAGACTATATATTGAAAAAAAAAAATATATTTATTTAAAGATTATCAAAGCTAAATGAACAGGCACATTTTATAATGAATCTCTCCTGATTTTTTTTTTATTTTTACATAGTTGTATAAATAAAACATAAATGGCATTCCATTAATTGATTTAATATAATTACATTGCATTAAAAGAATTAAAATCATACAAAAAAGTTGATATTTCTTGAGAGTATGTTTGTTTTGCCAAATAATAATAAATATAATGTATGAATTTTTTATTAATCATTTGAATTTGAAGTA